TAGGGATGGTAAAGGATGGATAGGGATGGTAAAGGATGGATAGGGATGGTAAAGGATGGATAGGGATGGTAAAGGATGGATAGGGATGGTAAAGGATGGATAGGGATGGTAAAGGATGGATAGGGATGGTAAAGGATGGATAGGGATGGTAAAGGATGGATAGGGATGGTAAAGGATGGATAGGGATGGTAAAGGATGGATAGGGATGGTAAAGGATGGATAGGGATGGTAAAGGATGGATAGGGATGGTAAAGGATGGATAGGGATGGTAAAGGATGGATAGGGATGGTAAAGGATGGATAGGGATGGTAAAGGATGGATAGGGATGGTAAAGGATGGATAGGGATGGTAAAGGATGGATAGGGATGGTAAAGGATGGATAGGGATGGTAAAGGATGGATAGGGATGGTAAAGGATGGATAGGGATGGTAAAGGATGGATAGGGATGGTAAAGGATGGATAGGGATGGTTAACGATGGATATGTCGTCTATACGTCCAGACACGTCGCTTGTGTGGGCCCCCTGTGATGAGATCTTTAATTTCTCGTGCCAAGACCCTACCGGCTGAAAAAAGAAACTATGGGCACTGGGGAGGAAATTGGTCGCCAAGATGTCGTCCACCTGGAGAAGGCTTTATGTCGATGGATTGAAGGCAAAAATTCGATTAGACTTTACTCTGGCAAGTGGACAATCTTTTAGATGGAGGGAAACAGCGCCAGGGGAATGGACAAATGTGTTATCAGGCTATGTGTGGACCCTAAAGCAAAATGAAAGTGATATTTTTTATCGTGTCTACGAGTCAGTAGTTGTAAAGAACAAACGAATTTTAAAAGAAGTTCGTAAATGTTCAGACCACAGTGTTAGTTGCTATTCAGCTGAAAAAATGCATCAGTCCGATATATATGAGTATATACTACGAGATTACTTTCAGCTTGGAGTCGAAACTGAATCGCTCTACGACGAGTGGAGAGCCAAGGATCCTCACTTTGTCAAAGTTTCAGAAAGCATGCAAGGCGTTCGAGTTTTACGACAAGACCCAGTAGAAACCTTGTTTGCGTTTATTTGCTCGTCAAACAATAATATACCACGGATAAGCGGAATGGTAGTAAAACTTTGTCATGAGTATGGAGAGAATCTTGGAGAAATTGATGGTGTTTCCTACCATAGTTTCCCTGACATGAAGGATTTGAAAGGGCCAAGAGTTGAACAGCACCTGCGTAGCATTGGGTTTGGTTATCGCGCAAAATTTATAAGTCAATGTGCAAGCTACATTCTTGAACATTATGACAGTAAGTGGCTGGAAAACTTAAGAAGTGTGCCATATAATGAGGCCCATGAAGGTGAGATCATTTGTTTTTATGTTCTTATGAATATGTTTTTATGTTCTTATGTTTTTATGAATATCAGTCACTTTTTTAACTTAATGTCAGCTTACTTATGTCCTTCAACCCAGGCACATCAAGTTGTTCAAATTATTAAGAGGCCGTAACTGTAAATATCGAGAATTGCTGGCCAGGCTAAAAAAATCGAAAATTCTGATAATTAGCCTGGAAAACTCCTTTAGGGAGATAGGTGAAAGGGGGGTCCTGATCCAGTTTCACACCCTAAGTTCAGCAAAATCATTTGTCACGTCTATTTGAAACAGCATTCCATGTGTCACAAATTGAAAAGGGAAACCTTCAAATCTTTCTTCTTGTGAGCGAGGTTTCAGAAAATGTTGATAATTAAATTCATAGGTCGTGTATATGTTGTAGTTCAATTTTATCCCTGGTTCAAATTTTATTTTCCTCTGTTTCAAACTCATTATCATACATTAACATGACCAAGAACAAAGGAAAATAAAATTTGAACCAAGGATAAAATTGAACTACAGCATATACTTTAGGAGGCAAATATTACGGCTCCTGCTAGTTCATAAATTCATGAATCATTCTTACATTTTTGTAAAATTCATGCATTACATATTAATTTTGGCCTTAATCACACTTCACATAGGAACCCTTTGCCACCCTCATATGTGCTTGTGGATGTGGATTCCGTAATGCCCATTTAAATGCTAATCCCTCTCTACAGTGAAAGTTCACTCAGCCGTTTAACGATCGAAATCTGATTTTTTATCTTTTCCCTCCAGCTGCTGCACATTTCCCCTATGATTTGTTAAATTGAACTGGGAATTACTTCTAGTGAATGCTTTCTGGGTGATTATTAGCCTATTCTAATTGCATGTTTGATATATAATGTATTGATATTGCGAGTAACTTGTTGTCACTTTTGGAAGTGAAAGTGTTGTCAGTATCTTTCAGAGGTAGATTTATCTGATATTTTCTGGTCATAAAAATGTGCACAAAAAGCCATGTTTCATATTTAGCATAAACTCGATATTTACATATTCCATTAGCAGACATTCTTGCATGTACTGCAAACACTTTCAAACATTGTCATACATACATACATACATGACCTTTATTAACGTGTCTAGTCATTATAGTGCCTGTAGGCACTATGTAGGCACTAATTGGGGACACCCTAAAACTACATTACATCATTAAAACAATTAATAAATACTCTAAAACTAATATACTAATTAATGGCACTAACTGAGGACATCCTAAAACTACATTATATCATTAAAAAAAGAAATTAATAAATACTTTAAAACATTAAAAATGTCGAAAATCCACACCACTCAAGTAAACCGTTTAGTGGCACCACAAGGCTAAGTTTTACATTTCCTCTATAACATCTACAGCTAAGCCCTAAGATATGCACACATTCAGTTAACAAAATCATAAGTGGCATTCCCTCCCACATCCTTCCAGAAATGATGTTACATCCTTGTTATGTATCATAGTCCTAAAGGATGCCAAATTTTCAATATTTCCCTTCCCCTTGCTTAATTTTGACCACAATTGTGGTCGGAGAAATCTGAGAGAAAGTCTTCCTTAGGTAACAGTATTAAACCCAGGTAAGACAAAATCAGCATTTCTTAGGCTATATCTCTTAGTATTCTCCTCATTGATATCAAAAATATCTGCAATTTGGTCCATAGTTAATTTTTTTTTTTTAACTTTAAACATCAAAATGAGTATATCCTGCAACCTCCTGTTTAGTAATGTAGTTAACTTAGCTCTTTTCAGCAAGGTTTCATAACTTTCTGTAGTAGTATTGTGCACTAGTCTCAAGGCTCTTTCTTGTAGACACTCCAATTTACGACTATCTGATGCGCTGCAAAAATGCCACACTAGGTGGCAGTAGGTAAGATGTGGCAAGATAGCTGATTTGTACAAAAGTAACTAGGCATTTACAGGGATAAGATTCTTGAGCCTACTTAATATTCCCATCATCCCACCAACTTTCTTACACACACTACGTAAATGATCTCTAAAATTTAGGTTTTCATCTAGGTTTACACCCAGGATCTTGATGGATTGTGACTGTTGCACTTTTTCACCACCTATATCTAGATCAACGTTCCTTTCTCCTTTTGGATTTCCCAGAACCATAGCCTGATATTTATCCCAATTAACTTTTAAAAGATTATCTTGAGACCATTTAGTCATCCTCTCACCATTGTCCACCAGAATCTTCTCCTCGCTTTTTGTAGTTTCATTTGCTACAAAGACCTGATGGTCATCTGCATACATCGAGACGTAGGCATCAGATATTATGTTAGGCAAATCATTCTGTAAAATGTTCCACATAAGTGGTCCAAACGTGCTTCCCTGTGGACATCCCCTCTTCACAATAACCCAGTCACTTGTTACAGAACTTATCCTTACTCTATTCTCTCTTCCCTGAAAATATGATCGTATGAGTTGTATGGTTTTATCAGAGAACTTGTAGGCCTGCAGCTTATTTATGAGCAACTGAGGGCTAAGAGAGTCAAAAACCTTGCTCACATCCGACGACAATATGCCAAAAAATTTTCATACTGTCTAGTTCCGCTCTCCATGTTTCGGTCATCCTTATCAGTGTAGTCTCACAGCTATTATTTGCATGATAGACAGTGATAGCATCACTGAGTCTGTCCATAAACTTACTGACTTGTTGGCCCAGCAATACTTAGTAGACTTTATTCACACATGGCAGCACCGTCATTTGGAAGTTTAGTTTGTTTCTATTAAGCACCTAGATTTTACTCAGCTGGATCCTACATTTATGAATCACATCACTACTTTGTGTTACAATGAGAGAGTTTGTTAATATTGAACTTGGTTGTGAGGGTGAATTTAAACACGGTTGTTGGTACCCATACAATACTTGTATATAAGTATTTCAATTCTCAACTGGTCAATTTCATTAACTGGTGCTTCTTTTTGTTTTTAAAAAAAAATTGCAAATACCAGCTCTCTGTAGGCTACCAGGTGTGGGAGCTAAGGTTGCAGATTGTGTTTGCCTAATGTCACTGGACAAACATGATGCTGTTCCAGTAGACACGCACGTGTGGCAGATAACTACTAAACACTACCTGCCCCAACTTACAAGAACCAAGTCTCTTACCACTAAGGTTTATAAGGAAATAGGTAAGTAGCCTGGAGTGGAAATTGTTTTGGGGTGAAAATTAATGAATTTTGTATGTATTTACTTAGTGGAATGGCTGTATGGGAAAAAATTTGATTCCAGGACAGGGCTCAACACTAACCATGGTAGCCAACTAGCCACAGACAAGTAGAAATTCATTTTTGGCTGGTGGTTTTTTATTTCCACTAACCAGTTTGGCTAGTGAACAAGCTTAAATTGTTGTAACATCTAAGTTGTCACTGACCACTTGGCTAGTAAGTTGAAAAGTAAGTGTGGAGCCCTGTCAGGAGTCTCCAGATCCAAAAAATATTTTGCAGTTGCAGATAAGAATTCATGGCAAGCATTTAATTGCCTAGGGTTAGTAATCAGTTTATGCCACCATTTTCTTCAGGTGATCATTACAGGGAGCTGTTTGGGAAGTATGCTGGATGGGCTCAATCGGTAATGGTTTTTGCATTGCTATTTATTGGTTATTAATGGTTTTTGCATTGCTATTTATTTGCATTGCTATTTTTAAAAGTCATTGCTTAAAATAGTATAGAAGTCAAATTTTTTTCTATAGGGAATCAGGGTACCTCTGTTAAAAATTAGCACCTTATATAAATGATACAGGTGATCATTCAATACAAAGTTATGAAATGTCACATCAAATTACTCCATGACTATATTTACCTATCAATTTGTAAATGCCTAGACCCAGGTTGTGAGGTGAAGCTTCTCAATGCTGCTATTTTTTTCTCTGTTGCAGGTTCTTTTTGCAGCTGATTTGAAAAGATTTCAAGATACTCAGAGTACCATTTTAGAAAATTCAAACTCAAAATCTGCCAAGGTAAGAAATTCGCAATTTGCTGTATTCATTATTATGAATTTCAAAAAGACATCAATTCATTTTATTTTTTTCTTCTTGTTTTCTTTTGCAAATCTATTCCTCAGTTGTCTTTTACTCCCACTGCCCTCCCCTCCCCTAGCTAAGACCTAAGACAATTTGAGTAAATCCGTGTTGGTGTTGGCGTTGTTCTAATTTATCGTCATTTGAAATTTTTAAGTCAAAGACTGAAGTATCTTATTTTTATTATTCTGCTTTAGAGGTCCGTGGAATCCGATGTTCCGTCAATAAGCAGCTCCAAGCCTCCATCCAAAAAGAAAAAGAAGAATCGAAAATAGGCTCTAAAGAGAGAAATTTTACATTCCTCACTCTTTCTGAGATAGCACCGAAACTCAGTCCACATTTATCATTTTAAGGGTTTCAAATTCCTCTAAATTTGATACAAACTGAAATGACTAAATATTTAGCTGGATATCATAATAAACTGTTTATAATCTCATGCTGCTTAGCTATTTAAAAATGGTGTTTCATTTTCATTTTAACAACGATTGTCATCTAATGAGCAGAGTCTTGAGTTTATTGACTTTCCCGTATTAGAATATCGCCTACCTTATCTGACCTAATGGACGCCGCCACTCTAATAAACGCTCCCTATTATCCCACTTCTTTAGAAGAAAAATCGGTCTTCATAACACTTCTCTTCCCAGAAAAAAAAGAACTCGGAGGAGCCACGATTTAACCCATCGTAAGTGGGTCCAGCGGGATGTTGATAATGAAAGCAGCCGGTTTTGCTCATCGGCCTTCTGATGATTCCTTAGTATAGTTGAATAAAGGCTGATAGTTTCGAAAGAAACTGTTTGGGGCTGCGTCGGTGGGAGTAACGAAATAATTTGGATATAGTACTGTGCATCCTGTTCGCCACACATGTAAGGGAAAGAAATAGCCGATTTCTTTTGAACAAGTACTTTATCTTCTTTTTCGTCGCCCGTAAATCTTTAAAAAAAGAGTCAACGTGAAGAAAGCCTTTTGTAGTCATCACTGTCAAACACAATAGAGTTTGCGAGATCACGAAAGCACCCTTCGTCGCGACCTGTATTTTACCGAGGAAGTACACGTTATTTTTTTTTCTCTTTGGTAAGACTCACCTTTCCGGCTTATCTTTCAGAATTAGTTTAAAGCTTCCTGTTCTTGCTAAAGTTAGCGTGAACC